AAGCATTCTTACTTTACAGCATTTTTTCACACTTGCCTAAAACTTTTGCACAGTACTATATTTGTGGAGTTAGTGTTTTAAAAAAATGTTACTTTTTTCAAAAATACTTTGACAGCTCAGAAAGTCCTTTTTAAAAGAGAGGAAAAAGGGGACTGAAATAAATGTTGGAGGATGGTGCATTTTAAGAATGTAAAACACATTTTCCAAATCAAATCAAGGTCCACTGATTCCAGCATTCAGGCTTTAACCAGTACCGGCAAGACCAAGGCCTAGCAACATGATTGCCTGTTTTTACTTCTACAGCAACTGGTGTCAAGAGGCTTCATTTAGATATTAGCCATTGATTGATCCACCATGAATCTGACACATTCAGGGATGAGCAATGAATGCCATCCAAATGTCAAACCATTCCCATCAGCCCTTTCCAGCACACTTAATGGTAAAGCATGATGGGAGTGCAGTTCAGCCACATCTGGAGGGACATACATTGCCCTACCTTTGTAGGCCTTTTGAAAAACCATCTAAACAACTGGATGCAATTACATTTTATGTAAAATTGATGCTAATTATCTGTTAACCCTTTTTTGTGTGACAAAAAATGGAGTCTGCACGAAGGTGACATTTATTGCAAGATTTACTTTAAAACGCTAGAGAGGTTTTTTGTGTCTGTATACATGTTTACGTTCTTACAAATGGTAAATTATTTCTTCTTTGAGAAGTTGTCTTAAAATTAAAATAAAGTGTTGATAAGGGGTAGTATAAAGCTATGATAAGAGTACATAAAGAAGCAATTTGTGTCAGTGTGTCATAATTAAGTGCTTATATCTCTTCACTGCTGTATTTTCAAGTGTGATTTCTCTGAATTATGTTTTTCCTGTTGTGTTAATAAACTAACAGGTAGAATTTAGTTCTCATTTGTATTTGCTCTAATTAGAGTCTTCATACATATCCACTGGAATTATCCCCCTTTGAAATGGAAGATTGTGAAAAGGGCGGTATCTAAGAATTTTCTGCATTAAGATTGGATATTTGTTGCATGGTAAAAAGGAACAAACAGACCATATTCTTCCAGTGACTATGTTTTTATTACTATTTGTCTAGATCCTGCAACATTCCCCACATATATACATATACTTATATTTGTATCATGTTTTGTACACTGTTATCGCCTGGCACTGTGCAACTTTGTATTATACATGAGAAGTAAAAAAACAAATATTTGTTTATCTTATTGCTAATTTGAAAAGAGTTTATCCCCAGTATTGCCCAAAATGGCATACAGACCTAGGCAGTAAAACAAGGAATGCTGCTGAACACCCTCTTT